ATATATATTTATATATATGTTTAGAATGTTCCTGTTATATCTATGTATATATTTAAAATTTAAATCAACTCATTCGAATATCTAACTATTAATATAAAAGATGTTTTATAAATAATAAGATGTAAATAAATATTTAATAATTTTTTGAAACAATATACAATTTTACATATTTAATTTTTTTTATAAATATGTGAAATATAGAGAATATGTAAAAAATATTTTATTTTTTTAAATTGAATCACATATTATTTATTAGATTACTTGCAATTCGATATTGTCTATAAAAAAATATAAAAATTTATATCATCAACAGTTTGAAAAATATTTTGATATCGACTTAAATAAATATTTACAAAATATAAGACATTTAGAGGATGAATTTTAGAATTTAAATTATTAGATAATAATAAAATAGTTGATGTAACATATCGTCAATCCAAAAAGATAATAATATAATTATAAAGGAATTATTTTTCAAAAAATGAAAAATTATTTATAAAGAATGATCGTAAGAATTTTTATCACATTTCAATTAGATACTTTTAATTTTTATTATGATAAAACTAATGTTTAGAAAAAGTAATTCCAATGATTTTGACTTTGATATACAGAAATAATGTCGAAACATCCATAAACTGAAAATTCCTAAGTAATTTCAAGCAACATTTTCTTTTACAAAAATTTTCGAGTTATTAACGAGTTATTAATAAAAAAACGCTTCAATCATGGAGCATGTAGCCTAGTCGAGCTGCTATAGTAACATTGATTATTATGCTGCTGAACAAATCCAAGCAATATTACCAAGAATATTCTCCTCGAGAGATAACTTTCGAGAGATTTTAGCTATCATTTAATTATTTCTTTAAAAATTTATTATTTATTATTTATTAAAAGTTTCTTTAATATTATTCCTTATTAAAAATAGGTTACGAATAATTATTAAAAAATTATTAAATTTAGATTATATCAATTATTAAAAATAGATTAAAATAAAATAGAAAATAAAATAAAAAATAAAATAAAAACCATTTTACAATAAAGTTAACATAAATAAATCACACAATTGAAATAAATTGTAATTCCAGTTATTATCATTGAAAATAGAGAAAAATTGCTTGATAAATTTATAGGTTCATTCATTATTTTTTATATAAGTATATAATAATGTACCGAGAAAATACAAATATAATTTTTTTTTTAAATTAAATCATATATTTTTTTTTATGTATAAATAGTATAAAAGTATATTTTTTATGTATAAAAGTATATGAATATATTTGATATGAATTATGATTATTCGATATGATTTATTCGAAGAGATGTTCAAACTTTTTTATTGTTGTTACACATTACATTTTTTACATCGTTTTTTGATGTTTTCCATTATAACGTTGAAATAGTTATATTAAAACAAGTCAATATTCATGATCTTTTATTTCAATAGAAAATTTAAAAGAATGAATTAGAATAATTTTCATTTTTAAAATAATATAATCTAATCTAACTTAATTCATTTTTTAATTAATTTGATCTATCTTAAAAATAGAATATATTAGAATATTATTTCATAAGAATATTCTACTTTTCATACTCTAAGTATCCTTTATGCGTTAAGATTTTAAATAATAAAATTATATTGTTATAATAAATTAAAATTTATTGTTTATATTTTTTGATATTTAAAATAATTGCTATATTTTGCAAAATTTTTTTGTCAATAACTTTTTAATAAAAAACGAATAATTGCTAAAAATCGTTTTGGAGATTATATAGGAAAGAAAAACATATGTCAAACTCAAGATTAAAATCATTTTTTTTCTAATATCAATAGATTTATGCTTTAAAAATTGATAAATATTATTAATATAATAATAAAATAATATAATAATATAATTACTATAATAATTGCTAATATTGATATGATTGCATATTTGTGAAATCATTAAAAATTTAACAAAAAAATTTGCAATTTGCAATTTCTCCAAACCAATGGTATATATTCTGATATTATAAATATATCAAAAAATATTGAAAATAAAATAATTTTCTAAAATAAAAACAATTCAAATATCGATTATTAAAAATATTTCAAACATTCAAAATGAATCAAATTCATTTTTTCAATATAGTATAAAATAATTGCAACAAAGAATTTCAATGAAGAATTATATTTTCTCATTCATTCGGTTCTCTCCCTAGAGAGATAAATGATAATTTGCATAGCAAATTATATTGTATCTATATATATCAGCACGCATTGTAATACGAAATTTAATGGAAAATAAATTTCGTTTAGTGATAATTTTCGATAGTTAATCGGCTCATCTAGTATGTATAATTTTGCAAATAATCCCAAAACAATATTAGTTATGTCCTCAATTATATTCCAGTCACGCGTAATATTTTATTATGGGAAATCGAAAAAGTGTGAATGAAAGCATTAGTATAGAAAAAAAGTGGAGAAAAAAAACGAGCGACAATTGTATCATTGCGGTTTCTAATAATTTAAAGTTAATTAAATACTTAAATCTAAAAAACAATTGTTATAGATATCATTGATATATATAAAAAAATATTAAATTGTTTGAGAATTTTAAAATGAAATTTAATAAATATTAAAATATGAACAAATACATAAACAAATATTTTTTAAATCAATATATATACAAATTGAATTTTTATTAATGTTTATATTAATATTATATAATTGAATATATTTAAATTATAATTAATAAATCAATCATATAATTTTTATGTGAATTAGCAATCTTAATTCTTAATTAATAAAACTTTCCTATAATTGATTGATCGTATTTCTTTCATGAATTTTTAAAATTATTTAAAAGAATATGAACTATTAAAGTAAATAAATATATATATAACTTTCGTATAATGCAACATGATACTATAACTAATAAAATTTAATTAAATTTACTATTATTATTACTATTTAATAGAAATACTTGTATTTTGTCTGCTTTTGTTCTTTTATCTTCTTCTCCTTTTCTAGCACATCTTTCTCCAAAGTATCTATTTGTGAGTTCGCATTTTCGAGATCCGTTTCGAGATTCAACTTTTTTACCGAGAGCTTGTTTATTTCTTTTTGCATTTTTTCGGAAGATGTTTTTTGCTCTTTTAGCGAAGATTCCAATTTCGTTATGTTCGTAGTCATTGAACTTATCGTTATAGTTGCTGACTGAAAAAATAAATAAAAAAATCACTATAATATTCCAATTAGATATAGATTTATATAAATTATTTCGATTGATAATTAAATTTTAAAATGATTCAAAAAAAAATTTTATATACATAAATTCATAATTGCCTAAAAATATTATATAAGGATATAATATTTAAATATTATATGAATATATATATATATATATATATATACATATATAATAATAAAAATATATATGAAATGAAAAATTAATTTAAATTATAATAAAATATATATAATAATTATAATAAAATGATTATTTCTACTCCATAACATAAATTCATAATTATTTACAAAATTTGTC